GGGGAGGGGGTGATGCTTCCAGGAGCTGGCAGGTGAATACAGGGGAGATCTGGGGACTATGGGGTCTGTGCGTCTCCTTCAGTCTCCTCTTCTGCCCGTGCCCTTCCCGGCCCAGCTTGGATGGGGTTATCTCCAGAGGAAGGGACTCAGTCATCTCTGCTCCTTGCTCTCACCCAGCAGAGCAAGGGCAGGCTTAGATCCTGGGCCCACCCATCTTCCTCTTCCCAGTCTCCATCACAGTCTGAGCAGTCCCCAGGTAACTGGTGCCTGGGAGTCTGAGTGTGTCCCCAGAGCCCTGTGCTGGACAGTTCACCCAGCTGGATGCACAGTCACTTTGGGCAGTGTGGGTACACAGGCACCCCAGCTGCTCTGAATGGCCTTAGAGACCCTGTGCCAGAAACCCAAGGAATGGGGATTCAGAAGAGCAGCTATTTAGAATAGCAGCCGCAGCCCCCTCTCTCAGCTTGGAGAGTGCCTGTAGTGACCTTGGACACAACCTTTCTTTAGCTGCCCTCCCCCTAATCTGGCTGAGACCAAGTCAGCTGCTCTAACTTCCCCCTCTCAGTTCCCCATCTCCCAGCCTGTCTGCTGGCTTCAGATCAAAAGCTGAGGGGAGAATCTGCACCCCTTCCTGCCTCTCTTTCTCATGTGCTTTGAGTTGCTCTTGTTCTCTGGGACATGAGACTGACTGACCTGTCCCTCCAACCCCCAGAGCCCTGAAATGACTGGCATTTCAGGGATAGTTTTCTTGCTCCCAACTCATGGGTCCATTTCTTTAGCCAGCATCCCTATCTCCTCTTCTTGTACTTGATGGTTCCTGTTAGGCTGGGGCAGCTGGAGTGGAGGCTGAGGACTAGACTGGCCGAGGAGAAAGCTTATGGGGGCTGAGGTGGTTGGCAGTGCCCCACCCCACGCATTCCTGGCACTCACCTTGGTGTTGCCAGGGCCCTAAGCCTGTGCCCTGGCCCCACTGCTGAGGATCACAAGTTGGCCGATTGTAGCGTCTCTGTGGTTTCCTGTTGACTGTACTCCATTCCAGACAGCTGGGGGCTGGTGCTGGCAGAGAGGGGCCAAAGGGACTTTGGGGAGGGAGAGAGAGGGGACAGAAGGGAGAAGCATTGGGTTGCAGGAGGAGACATTATCCCAAGGTCTGTTTTCTGCCCAGTGAGTGACCATTCTGGTCCTGCCCCAGAGCTAAGAATGGACGTGGCCGGCAGGAATAGTGGAACCCTTTCCCTTCCTAATCAATTAAGCATCAGGGTGGTGATGGGTTTGTTCACATTCTCCTGGCTGGTTGGGGCAGGCCAGACTGGTTTCTGTGTGTCAATTCTCCCCACTTGGAAGGTGGGCCTGTCTCTAGGGTGGATGTCTGGGCTGAGGGTGCTGGCTCTGAGCTCTCCTATGGGCTTCTGAACTCCCAAGGTCTGAGTGCTGCCTTTGTCCTATGTCCTCCAGGTGAAGAGTGAGGGCCCCAAGCTGGTGCCCTTCTTCAAGGCCACCTGCGTGTATTTTGTGCTCTGGCTGCCCTCATCCAGCCCATCGTGGGTCAGCGCCCTCATCAAGTGCCTGCCCATCTTCTGCCTCTGGCTCTTCCTTCTGGCCCATGGCCTAGGATTCCTGCTGGCCCACCCCAGTGCCACCCGAATCTTTGTGGGGCTCGTCTTCTCCGCCCTAGGTGATGCCTTCCTCATCTGGCAGGACCAGGGCTACTTTGTACACGGTCAGTTGCTGCAGTAGCTACCTGGGAGGAATCCTGGGGCTGGGGGTTACGGGGTGTTAGGGGGCCAAAGATTTGGGAGCTTTTGAACAACAATATGAGGAATCTGAGGGGTTCTGAGACCAAGAACTGTGGGGTCCCTGTTGGAGGATGACCTTGCAGGTGATCTGGTGATCCGTTCTGGAGTTCCTGAGGGGAGTGTGTGTGGGGGTGTCTTTACCTTTGTGGATTTCTTCCCACCCATTACTCCCAAAACAAAGCTCCTGGGTTAACCTGGGCCTTCCACTCCCACCTCCACCCTATTCCTTGTTACTCACCTGAATCTGCCTTCAGCACCCCCTCATTCTCACTTCCAGGTCTACTGATGTTTGCTGTGACCCACATGCTCTACGCCTCAGCCTTTGGCATGCGGCCACTGGCTCTTCGGACAGGTGTGGTGATGGCAGTGCTGTCGGGCCTGTCCTATGCCATTCTCTACCCGGGCCTTTCAGGCGCCTTCACCTACTTGGTGGGGATCTACGTGGCCATTATCAGCTTCATGGGCTGGCGGGCTGTAGCAGGGGTACAGCTGGTCGGGGCAGCCTGGCGCTGGACTGAGCTGGCGGCAGGCAGTGGTGCACTGCTGTTTATCATCTCAGACCTGACTATCGCCCTCAACAAGTTCTGCTTCCCTGTGCCCTACTCGCGGGCACTCATCATGTCCACTTACTATGCCGCCCAGATGCTGATTGCTCTGTCAGCTGTTGAGAGCCGGGAGCCAGCGGAAGACTACAGATTGAGCAAGGCCAACTGAGGGGCTAGTGTCTGGTCACCCCGCTCTCCTCCTGGGGTCCAGAGCCTGGCAAACGGCAAGAACTGTACAGGATGGTTGCAGTACCCACCTGGGGCACAGGTACCACCTGGAAAATGTACAAGTTTGAGGGGGTGAGCAGGAAAGGATCTCTAGCAAAGCTAGTAGTCCAGGACAACGCTGAGAGTTAAAACGAGCTAGACTAAAGCTCCATGCTGGAGCCAGAAGTAGACATCTCCCCACCTCTACCCCATCAGGACTGTCAGAGCCCCTGTAGAGGGCGATGGTGCTTGGCTTCTTGACCTCTCCCTACTTCTACTAGATGGAAGAGTCTGACTTACCACTCCCACTCTTTCTGATCTATGTAGAGTTGAGAAGAAGAGGAGAAACCTGTGCCAGGGCTTGAAGCCCCTTTTGTAGGCTCCTAGTTGGGAAGATTAGATGAAGTGGAGAGGCTTCCTTTCCCTCATCTATCCTTGGTACTTGAACAATCTCAATCTCTATGTGGTAGGTGGGAAGGTGAAAGGGTGTATGTCTAGGTAGGCAAGAGAGGGGACTTCTTTGGCCTGGGAGCTTGGGCTATTATGGATTCAAGTTGGTCCTATCTGTCTCAAAGGCCAGCCCAGAGCTCAGGCCCCACATCACCACCCTCAGACCTTGTCCCCAGGGCTAGGATGAACCATGCCAAAGGAAGGGGCCAGCCTGTGTGTGTGTGTGTGTGCGCGCGCGCGCGCACGCGCGTGTAAGACTGTGTGTGCAATCTGTCTCCCAGTCTATGTCTTTCTCTGCCATCTGTCTTTGTTCTGCTGTTTGTTAAAGTCTTATAGGGAGAGGGCTCAGGGAGCTGCTGAAGGGGTGCTGAGCCTGGCTCAGAGAGCTGGGAGCCCCCACGCCCCCTCCCCCCCATTGCTTTCCTCCATGACACTCCTGCACCGGGAGCAAGAAGAGGGGGCTCCAAAGACACTCTAGGGTCATAAGACCCGAGGCACAGTCAATGCAAGAGGAGCAAGGATGGGACAACCCCTTCCTTTACTGCTCATGTGAAAAAAACAATAAAAACCATGGGCTGTTGGCTGCCCTGCCTGTCTGTCTGTGTGGCACGTGCCTGTCCTGGAGAGGAGGGGGTGGGAATGTGGAGCCAGGGCCCTGGATGTCCTCACAGCTTGGGTCACAGTCCTGGCCAGTGCATCGTGGCGCCAGGCTGGCTCTTTGGCTCTGGTAACACTACTGGTTGGAGTGGGTCTCACTGAACTGGTCACATGTGTGTGCGGGTGAAGATGTAGTTCAGGAGGATGGGGGATGGGTAGTATTTGCCACTGTCCAAATTTGTCCTTGATGCACTTGCGTGTGCACTAAGTTACCCAGTGTCATCCCGCTGCCCGCCTCCTCCCTTCCTAACCCCAGACCTGCTGCCTTCTCCAAAATGATCCCGATTCCCTTCCTGCGTCTCCTCTCTCCTTGGACTCTGGGCTCAGTTGAACAGATGGAAGGAATGGGATTGGACTGGGTGATTCATACTTTTGATGTGAAGCCCTGGCAGAAAAATGTGTCCCCCCCACTCCAGGGACATTTGCATTTTAATGGGCAGTGCCCTGACCCAGAATTTGAAAGGGAAGCCTTGGGTGGTGCTGAATATGCCATTAGTAGAGGGATTGCACAGTTGCGGGGATGTGATAGAAGGAGGCTCAAGTCCCATGTGGGTGTTGGATGAATCAGTGATATTCAAACAAGGGTTTTTTACAGAAATCCCTGGTGGGAGATAGAAAAAGAATCAGTAAAGGAGGGAGGCTCAAAGACCCCTATCTTTTGTTTCAAGTCCAATGGCTTTTTGTTTTTTGTTTTTGTTTTTTTAAAAGGAAGGATTCTGCTGCAAAACCTAAGTTTGAAAGCTAGAGCTGGATGACTAATCTTTTCTAGCTCTGAAATGCTCTAGTCCTCAAAGAGTGGGAACCCTGCACACTAAAGAGGCAAGGTCCTGATCTCATCAAACCCTGAACTCTGATGACAGACCTGGCTGGTCTAAAGAAATGGGACAGAGCAGGATGGGGAGAAAGATGAATCTGGCAACACTTGCCCATCCGTGCCCTGAGAGGAGAGAAGGCAAGTCAAGGCCCAGACAAAAAGGAGCTGGTCACTCCTGGTGTGGGTGGGTTTAGACCAGGCTCTCAAAGGTCTGGGTTCTGTGTATCCCCATCCCATGCCCATTTCCATCTCCTTGGTCCCTGCTGTATACCACCCTCAGGAATAGGCAAGGGTGAGCTCAGTCAGTTTATTGTCCCATCCCTTCACTGAATGTTTACATTGACAAGCACCAGAGAGCAAACTGGGCTTCCCTCACGGGGACCGTGCCCAAGACAGGTCAAGAAGCCCCACATCACAACATCCTCCTGATGCCTGGGATGGGCTGGAGCTCACATAAGGTACTTTGATTTTTTCTGCAGATTCTCCATGACTGATGCCAGAATTGACTTGTCATCTTTATCTGAAAGAGCAAAACAAGTATTAGTGTTAATGATGCTAGGAGCAAGGGTAACTCCATACCGCTGGACTTGTAGTTACTATGCAGGAACCAGGGACTAGACTCTGCCTGGGACCCCCGATCCTCCCCCTGGGGCTGGGAGTGGGCCCCAGTCCCAGTCTCCCAAGATCAGGTGAGGGTGTGGGGCCAAGAGCTGCCAGTTATTGAGCATTTAATATTTGCCAGGCATTGTGCCAGGCACTTTCATGCACTATCTCATTTAAGCCTCACAACAGCCCTAAGAAGTAGAGGAGAAAACAGGCTTAGAGTGGCTTGCCAAGGTCACACAGCTGGTCAACGGTGGAGCCAGGACCCTGGGCCCATGTGCTTACAAGCAGAATTAAGTTGTCAGGGCTGGCTCCTGCTACCAACAGAAAGCTGGTTGTCTCCCACACTGCCTTCCCTGGCCTAGTTTTGTCACACAATTTAGCAGCCACGCTGAAGGCGTCACCTCAGTGCCAGACACTTAGCTGAGTGCCTGAGAGACTGAGCAACAGGACATGGTCTTTTCCCCAAGGAAAGGTACCTACAACGCGATTAAAAATGTCTATAACCCCGGTGACGATGGACACTGATGGAATGCCACAGAGAATTCAGGGAGTGGCAGAGGGAGATGGGGTGGGGGAGGGGCCTTGTTAGTTGGGATTTTATCAGGAGGATCATGGGAGAGCTAGGAGTGAGTTTAAGCAAGAGGGAGCAAGCTAGGTCAGCTCTGCACTGAGAGTTTATGCTACTGGCTGTGTAGGTATGAAGACAGTACACAGTGTAGGAAGGAATAAAATGTTTCCCCTCCATGTGTACACATGAGCAGAAACGTGACACAAATGTGCAGAGGGAGGGCCTCCACTAGGTTCCCTTCAGTCCTCCCAGCATTTGTGCCTCCCATCTGCCCTAGACCAGTAGTTTTCAATCCTGAATCACTTGCGAAATTTGTAAACATAAACATTCCTTCCAGGACCCCGCCACAGAGATTGTGATTGGTGAGTGTGGTTTAGGCCTGATCACCAGTATCTTTTTCAAGGCAAGTCTAGGCCCACCAAGGGTTGCAAACCACAGTCTGCCAAGGGTTTGCAAACCTCCACATCTGCAGGGGCCAGGCACATAACAAATGACATTGAGGATGGAGAGTGATCCCACCTATGACCAATGTTTACACCACCTGATGGCAGATTATATTTAAAAAGTTGCCAGCCATGCAAAGAGAGTCAACAGCCCACAAGACCGCCATTTTGTGCCTCTGCCCCACATGGGATGCACCCTGCCTCCTGCCCCCATCCCATGGCACCCTCACCATAGACTGTGAGCGTGCAGCTGCTGCGGTCCTTGCCCAGCTCATTCTCCACCAGCACGCTGTACTCGCCGCTGTCTTTGAGTGTGCAGGTGGGGATGACAATTGTGCATACACCACTGGTGGAGTTGTACCAGAACTTGGAGTTAGCTGTGATGTTGACCTCGCCCTTGTAGAGGGTCACAGTGGGCCGCGGGTTCCCAAGGAAGGCACAGGTCATGGTGCAGTCCTGGCCGCGCAGCACCGTGTGTGGCTTGAGCGGGGTCAGGAAGCGAGGCGCGTGGCGCCAGTCCTTCTGCTTGTATGGCTTCAGCTTGGAGCTCAGGTCCTCAACTGTGTGGGCAGGATGCAGAGGCCGTCAGCACCCCCAGATACCCACCTGTCACCCACTGTCTTAGAGCTTGGAGGGCACCCCCTGAGATGCAGCTCATGGAACCTCAATGACCTGGATTAGAGTCCCAGATGCCGTCAACACTGGGGCCTTATTACTGGCTCCTAAAGTTCCCCTCTGCCACCCTACCTGCTCCCTGCTCCTTAGAGACCCTTCCCAGTCCTCACTGCCTTAAGCCCCCTTGGCTCAGAGAGGACCATGTCTCAGCACTATACCATACCCCAGCCCATCCAGCCCTCCACTGTCACCCTACCCCCAAGGGTACCTCCCCACCTCCATCTTAGCCCCACCCCTCAGGGTACCCGAAGGTATCTTCTCCCCTAGGTTTCCAGACCTCTACTTTTCTCCCCAGCGACCCTGACTCTCACCCTTCCACTTCAATGGTCCTCTGATTTTACCTCGAGTCTTGGGTACTCCCTGCAACCCTTATGCCATCCCCAGCATCAGGGATCCCAGACGTAACCTCCAAATACCCTGACTCACTCTTGTCCTTGTTGACGAGCCAAGTATCCTTGGAGTCGAGTGGATCGCTGTCACCAATTTCGTTCCGGGCCAGCACTCGGAAGTAGTACTTCCTGCCAGGGAGCAAGCCGGTAACCGTGTACTTGTTGCTGAAGACGCGTTCTGCTGCTGTGAACCAGGTGGCGGTGCTGGCATCCCGTTTCAAGATGACGTAGTGGGCCTCGCCATCCTCCTGCACGTCAGGGCTGTGGTTCCAGGTCAGAGTTACCGTGTTGGGGACCTCCTCAAACAGCTGTAGGTTTGTGGGTGGCCGCGGTATATCTGGAACAGTCAGAAGGTCCGTCAGTACCTCGGGGGACCTGAAATATTGTCCAGCCACCTGCCAAGCCCTTTGAGTCTCAGGCAGCTGGTTTCTTGTGGTTTCTTGGGAATCAAAAAGATCTGTTTCTGAAGTATATAGTGCTGCTATTTACTAGCCCTGTGAACTTGGGCAAGTCACTTGTCTTTTCTGAGACCCAATTCCTCATTTGCAAAAATACGGCTAGCACTAACTATCATAGACATGTTGGGTGAATGCCTGGCATGTAGTAACTTCAATAAAAATTCATCCCTTCATCCCTTGGGGGTTTAGGGCTTTATTTAAAGCTTCTAGGGCCAGATGAGTGGCACGATGGTTAAGAACTGGCTTGGGATGCCAGAGGACCCTGGTTCGGATCCCACATATGAGGACCAGTGACACTGCCCTCTACAGGTAAGATGCTGAACAACAGCTCAACCTGGAGCTGGGCTGCCGTGAGTCGCCGGTGACGGCGTAGGCTGCAGCCCCTGTGACAGTGGGTTGCCATGGGCTATCGTGTGTAGCCAGCAGCCAGCGTGAGCGGCCAGCAGCCGCTGTGAGCGGCCATCCAGAAGCTGGCGACTGATCTGTCTCGCCTGGGAAGAGTGCAATGATGGTGCCAACTTGGGCCAGTGAAGCCAACGTCCTCCACAACTAGACTGAAGAACAAAAGGACAGCAACTTGTCTGTTCCCCTTCCCCCAATTCCCCAATAAAAAAAAAAAAGCAAAAAAAAAAAAAGCTTCCAGCCCTCTCTAAGAGGTCACCCCAATTTTTAATTAATTCATCTCCGTCTGTCCTTCCTGCCTGTCACCCGTTCTCTCTGCTCTCTTTTTCCGACCTACTCTGCATATGTCCCAAAGCTCACCAGATATGACTGCAGAAACTGAAACAAGGGCTTGGTCCTAGTTCAATGCCCCTGGGGCTTCAGCACAATGAGAAAAGGTGGAAACAACCCCCCCATTAAGGCAAAGGCTGATGAAGTCTTACTCTGTGGTGCCAGAGAAGCCTTTACTACCTTAAGGCAGGACTTCATAGGAGCAGGAGCTCAAACGGCAGCGTGGAACTATATTTTGGAGAGTGTGCAGGGATGCTCCCCGAGGCCTCTGCCCACTGTCATACCTGCCACTCGCACATGGATGTCATAGTGCGCCTCTCCAAACTCATTCTGCAGCAAGATGCGGTACACCCCGGAGTCGGAGCGCTTGGTGCTATTGATGAGGAACTGGGAGTGGTTTTTGCCTTTGGTGATGGCTTCCCTGCCCTTGGTGGGAATGCCATCTTTCTGCCAGATCACGCTGGGTGGTGGTGAGCCCTGGTGGTGACAAGAGATGGCACCAGGGGTTACCCAGGTGGTATTTGGGGGCAGGCCCGCCCCTCAATGTTGAGGAGTCTCTTGCCGGGCTGTAGTGCCAGATATCTGGCGAGGGGCAGAGTCAGAAGCAGAGACTATGATAGCGACAGCAGCCATCTTGGCTAAGTGGTGGGCATCTGGGGCCAGGATCAGGAATGACTCACGTAGAAGGCGGCATGGATGCAGAGGGCTGTCCCAGCACGAACCACCATGTGACTCTTCAGCCGGGCACTGAGGTCAAACTTGGGGGCAGCTGAGATGGAAGGAGACAGAGGTGGGAGAATGGACCTCTCTTTCCAGAAGACTCAGCTTTAAGCTTCCCCTCCAAAGCCTTTCCCAACCTCTCCTCCTTCATGTCCCCATTAAAGGACATACAGGTATTTACAGCCCAGCATCACTGTGAAGCATTTGTTTTCGCATTTGTCTCCCTCTACTAGTATATAAGACCCTTGAGAGCAGGTCCAGGGCCTTATTTGTTTCTATATCCCTCACACCTCCCTTGGCACACAGTAGATACTATTTGGCACATAATGAATGTTTTGTTTTGTTTTGTTTTTTTTTGGCAGGGAAGCTCCTGGGGTTCACTTCACCCCTGGCTCTGTCCAGGCACAGCAAGTATGGATGACTTTTTCTTCATCACAGCATCACCCAATCTTCCCCTGTGGGACGAGGTCCCAGAGAGGAAGATTTGAAAGCTAGGGTGTTGGGACCTAAACCCCAGCCCTCTCTGTGTCCTCACCTGGTGGTGGCATGGCACGGACCCCATCATCCAGCTCCACAGGCTCCCCAACCCCAGCCTCGTTCACAGCCCGGATTCGGAAGAAGTATTTCTGCCTCTCAGTGAGGCCTCCCACCGTGTAGCAGGTGCCTGAGATGGGGATCTTTGTGCACTTGGACCACTCCTTGGTGTCTTCAGCCCGCATCTCAAGGATGTAGCCAGAGGGTGGGTCTCCCTCTGCAGGCTCCCGCCAGGCCAGGGAGATGCTGGAGTTGGAGGAATCAGACACGTGCAAGCCCTGCACCAGGCCTGGGGGTTCTGGGGTGAAACACACATCCAGTCAGCCCCTCAAACCCATCTCGACTCAACTCATGCCAGTTCCCACACTCAGTACCCTTGAAACCTCACTTCAACACTTCTACCTCCAACTCCCATAGTTAACACCCTCGATACCCAACCTTGCACACTCAACCACCTCCAAATTCAATTTTCTTACTGACTCAACACTTTCACCCTTAAAGTCAATATGCTCCAAATTCAACATACCCTACACATTCAACCCGTCTATATTCAAAACCCCAGCCCTTAACCCATCCATCTCCACCATATCCATTCACATGCAGTATCCCGACCTCACCTCCTACCATTTACCCAGCACCCTTACCCCATCTCAAACAATCTTCTATTACCTCAACTAATACCAGAAATACTCAAAGTTTGATTTAAAAACTTTGTTCCACCCTGCCTCCTCACTGTCCCTTGCTCTCAATCTTAATTTGCTGGCTTTTCAGGTCTGAATCCTGTCCCTCCAGAAGGCTGGGAGCTCCCAGAAAGTGAAGACTCTTTGACCCCTCCTGTTAGACTTTCCCAGAGAAGACATCGTCTCAATTCTACTGTGTGTTGGGGCTTGGCAGCCCCAAACTCACTGACAGGGTCTTTGGCCACCACTGAGTTGGATGGCATACTGGGATGTCCAGGGCCTGCCTTATTCACAGCTATAACTCGGAATTCATATTCTGTATCCTCCAGCAGACCATCCACTGTGCACTTGGTGCCTGAAATGGGAATTTGAGGGGTTATGAGGTCAGGAGGCCCATGGTGTGGGAGATTGTAGACTGAGAGGGCATGGAAGAGGGGAACATGGGACACTGTTAAAATCCTCAGTGGAGTTGGGGGAGAGGGGATGTTCAGAGCAGCAGGGGCACATGGGTCCACTCAGCAAAGTCTCCCTTGGTCCCTCCTGGGCCCTCTGTCCCTAGAAACTCACCCTGGATGGGGTCCTTGTTGAAGGGCACCCACAGGTTACTGCCTTTCTTCCTCCTCTCCACAATGTAGCCAAGCACTGGGGCTCCCCCATCCTGGGTGGGGGCATTCCATGTGATGGTCACAGCCTCTTTGGTCACATCAGTCACTTGAGGCTGGGAGGCAAGACCAGGGGGCTCTATAGGGGATGGATAGAGGACAGAGGTTAGGAGAGGGAGCGTGTAGACGTGGCCCACCCCATGCTGACTTCTGACCCCCCCCCTTTAAAAAACAAAACAAAGAAAACCCTTAAACCCATGATGCTTAGCTCTGCTTGTACATTAATATGAAGTGGGAAGAGAAGAAACCACTACCAACAATTACTGTCTAGTTCCTACATCCAGATATTTTCATTCTATTGGCCTCAGGTGGAGGCCAGGCACCAGCATTTTTAAAAAGACCTCAGGTGATTCTAATGTGTAGCCATGATGAAGAATCGCCAACTTAAACCTTCCAACCTGTGTCACTCCCAATGCTCCAGTTCTTAATGTACTGTCTTGACACACTGGGACATCGAGATCAGTTGGGAGTAGTGTAGCAAGTAATTAATTAGTAATCATAATTAAAATATTGATGTTGTCAAGGGTTTTCTTTGGAAAAAATTTAGCATGGATTCAATGTTATCCCTAAAGCAACATCACTCTCACTTGGATTCAGGATGATTTCTGGAATGGAGAAACAAGTGGAGTCAGTTCTCTGGAGCAGTGCACAGTTCTGGATACAAAGGACTATGCGGTACATGTGTTCTGATTGGAAAAAGTTGAGAATTCCTGCCTAAAACAATGTTCTGCTCCATCTGTCTCACGGGGGCAGCTAGAGAAATGACCTTGTGTAGTTCCCCATAGGCCAGCATTCCTCACTGCCTGAAGGCCCCCCTCCTGACCCTTGAGTTTCCCACTGAGCACAGGGCTATCTCACTGACCAATAGGATTTCCTGCAAACACTTCATCTGTCTCCAGCGGGTCGCTCACTCCTTCTGAATTGACCGCCAGGATACGAAACTGGTAGGCTTTTCCCTCCTCCACTTTGTTGGTGGAGAACTTGGTGACTTTGCTGTCCACTTCGCCTACTTTAACCCAAGACTTCTTGCCGACTGCCCTCCGTTCCACTATGAACTGAGTCACAGGCCGCCCACCGTTGTCTTTTGGGGCCTTCCATTTCATGTGCACACAATTACCGGAGAGCTCCAGGAACTCCACTCGGCCCTGGGGAGGCTTGGGACGGTCTGAGGACAGAAGATAGCATCAGAATGGGGCTTTGGAGCAAAGAATCAGAAGGCTTCATCCCACTCGCTGGAGGTCCAGCCAGACTGGGACATAGATTCTGAGCTTTCTGGATCCCTCGCCCTTCCCTGTGTCCACTGCCCCTCCTTCTAAGACTTGTCCAAAGAGTTTCATCCTTGTCCACTGAGACTCCTGCTTGCCTAGGAATGGGTGGACTCGAGACCCGAGGGGCCCCTTCCTCGGCTGATCCCCACCTTGTCCCCTTCCAGATAAGATCTCCCCTTCTTCTGAGCTTCCAGAACTCCAGTGCTTTCTGGTATTATAGTCTACCTTTTGTTATAATTACATGTCTACCAGTTTTCATCCCTTTTGGGTTGAGGACTGCTGGGGATACTTCATCTCTGAGTCCCCAGTACTGAGAACACAGGAGGTGCTTAGTCTTGCTGCTGAATTGAACTGAAACTCAAATCTCCCCACCCACAGCTTGATGGAGATGCAAATGGAGGAGGTAATGATGGTGTGTGTGTTTTGCACGTTGAATATTTAGTTCACTAAGGCCAGCTTCTCATCTTTCCTTAACCTTATGTTCAGAACCATCCCAACTCCCATTCCCCACCTTATACCATCTTTTCCTCAACCTCATTTTATCCTCAGCTCTATCTCTCACCTCCCTTCACTCCATTTCACTTTCAACCCCAGTACTCTTTGCAACCAACCTCACTTCCATCCCTAAGTCCCTCCTCTCTTTCACCCCATTTTCACCTTACTTCCAACCATGTCCTCATCTCTAAGTCAATAACACTAACTAACATTAGGAGGTGTACTTTCAATTCACTTGAAATAGATACTTAATAAAAGATCACCCTGTTCCGTAAGTGAAACTGAGGCTTAGGTTGCCCAAGGCCACCTCATTAGGAAGTTAGGAAGTGGGGCTTCTGGTTACAAAGCCAGCACTCCAACCCCATTCACAACCCAAAGTCTGACTCTGCCCCCAACTCTATGTCCCCTGAGCATTGGACAGTCGGTGCCCTCGGCCCTGCCCAGCCACGGTCCTGCCCTCACCCAGCACGTTGAGGTGCACAGTGGCCGTGGCTGAGCCGTGGTCATTCTTGAGTTTGAGCAGGACAAGGCCACTGTCCTCGCGCACGCAGTTGGAAATGGAGAGCAGCGCCTGATCTTCTCTGCGCTCCATAGACACACGTTCCTCCTCCGTCACCTCCACGCCGTCTTTGTACCACGTCACTTTGGGCAGCGGCTTTGCCCGGAAGGGCACCTTGATGTTTGCCGTGTGGCCCACCTTCACTGTCACGGGGTGCGCGGCCAGCGCTTCAAGTACCGACGGGTCGATGGTAGGAGGATCTGCAGGGCGGGGCGGTAGGAAAGGCTCGCCGCACAGGGATGGGGGAGGAGTCGAGGGGGTGGAGGTAGAGCCCATGGGGATGGGGGAGGGGCTATGAGCATGTGGGCGGGGCAGGCGTGGTTGAGGTTTGTCTGCAGTGGGCGGCGACCTTACCTGCAATGAACACGGAGGCTTCGCTCTCTGCGCCCTTTGCCCTGAATGTGTACTTGCCCTCGTGCTCGGGGCCCATATTGGGAAAGATGAGCTTGTGCACCGCACCCTGCTTCACGATCTGCACGCCGGGCAAGTCCGTGATCTGGGGTGGGGGTGGGGGGCAAGGGGTGGGCGTGAGTGTGAGTGTACGCCCAATGGACCCCTTCCTCCTTGGTCCCTTTCCCTAGCCCCTGCTTCCGACCTCCTTGCCATCCTTCAGCCACACGCCCTCCACCTTCTCGTCGTTCAGTACTACGCACAGCTCAGCCGGGCTCCCGGTGGCCGCGTGCACGTCGGACATCCCGCTCTTCACCGTGGCCAGACGCTCTAGAGAGAAAGGGAGCAGAGGCTTTGGGGAGAGTCAGGTGTGCAGCGTCTATCAAAATTATTTATGATGAGCAGGAGGCTTGGAAATGGTCAATGGGCGATTGGGGTATGGTCAGTGCGGGGATAGGAGCAAGCAGGTGAGGGGTTGGGGGAAAATCAGTGGCACTGGGAAATGGTGACCAGGAAGAATGGGAGATGGCTAATGGGGGAAGGAGTTGATCATCAGAGGATGGTCAGTAGGGACTTCGGATGCTCAGTTGAAGAAGGGGAACAGATGGTGGGGATGCAGGTGGTGAGGGGAGTTGAGATGCTTAGTTGTGCTTGTGCTGGTCTGTGGGATGCCCAAGGATTATTGGGAGTTGAGGGTGGTCAGTGTCAGTGAGGAGTGGTCAAGGCTAGTGAGTAGGAGCTGGTCAGGGTCAAGGAGTGTGGGATGATCAGCGTCTAAGAGGTAGCGACTGGGAGATCAGAGATGGTCAGAATTTGGGAGATGGGGGCTGTCAGAGTGAGGAGGTAGAAATTGATCATAGTCAGGGGGAAGGTTGCAGTCAGTGTGTGTGGGGGTGATCAGTGTCCAGAATAGGGAACTGTTAGGGTCCGGGGGGTTAGTCAGTGGGGACTGACAGGGTGGGTGTGTACCTTCTACGGTGACCATGGCAGTACTGAAGTATTCAGTGGGGTCTCCATCCTGCATGGCCACCACGGTGTACTCGCCACCATCACTGAGCTGTGCATCCTCAATGATCAGCTCTGCTCTCTTGCCCTCATGGCTCATGCTGTACTTGGTGCTACGCTCCAGCAGCTGCCCGTTCTTCTTCCAGCGCAGTGTCACATCTTTGGATGTCAGCTCACACTCAAGGCATGCTCGGCTCCTCTCTTTCACACGTACGTTCTTGAGGGTGCTCACAAACTTGATGGGGATGCCTGTGGACAGATAAACACTGGGACCTCCTACATCCCTTTTCTGCAGCTCTGCTCCTCTTTTTGGCCCGAGAAGACACAAGGACTTGTGACATGGAGTGTGATTGTGTGCAACATGTAACCCATCGAGGTATCTGGCAGGGAGAGTCCCAGCTCTGCCCCTTATTTGCTACCTACTTGTATGCAATGCATTCACTGAATCTTAGTTTCCTCATATGTGAAATGGGATAAATGCTCCCGTGGAACTCTAGCCAGAATTGCACTGTCTCTCTGGGCCTTTACACATGCTGTTCCCTATGCCGAGAATGTCTTCTTGTCTTCCTCCCTCTCTGAAAGCTGGACTACTTTTTGTTCTTGGTAAAGCTTGGCCATCACCTCATCACATCCTTTCTGACATCACCAGATGGTGCCCCTTCTTTGGGCTCCCACAGCTTCTGTGTCTCCCTCCATCACAGCAATGATGATTCCATGTCACATGTGTCAAGTGTGGTTCAGATGTGTGACATGTTTCTTGGTGTACCCACCATCATGTGCAACTCTCCAAACTAGCTATATAATATTAGAATGTGAGTAGTCAAGAGTGATGTATTATAATATATGATTTAGAGCCAGAACAGCTAATAATTTCTTGGCCTATGATCTCCCAGCTGATAATAAGACTCCATTGTATCTTGACTCCTTGCTGGAGAACTTCTGTACTAATTCCATTGCTACATTGCCTCTTCTACTAGACTAGGAGTTAGTGGAGAGGAGAGCCCTTCTTTCTAGTACCCATCACAGGGCCTTGCAAAGAGGAGATAGATTGATGATAGATGGATGGATGGATGGATGGATAAATGCATGGATGACTGCCCACATGGAGGTTGCTGTGGCATGAAGCCCACCCCTCAAGCTCTGACCCAACCACTCACGGTCAATAGTGAGCTGGGCCTTCTGTACCAGGTCTCCCACTTCGGCAGAGAACTCGCCGCTGTCACTGAGTCTGGCATCCTTAATCTTAAGTGTGTGGGTCAGACCATCCTCGGACACTGTGATTTCATACTTTTCATCCCTCTTCAGCTCCTTTCCATTGAACTTCCACACAAAGTCGGGCACTTTCTTGGAGAGGCGGATCTCAAACACAGCTGTCTGGCGCTCTGTCACCTTCACCGGCTTCATCTCTCCCAAGAACTTCAGTGGCTCATCTGCAGCAAAAAGTAGGAGGGGCAATTACTGGGCTGTAGCTCTCTTCTCTCCTGAGGGGTGGGATGGTGAAGAGGGCATGGAGACTCAGATGTCATTGGCCACCTGTAGTCCACAGTTGGGGAAAGTATCCTTCCTTTCATTTCTCTTGTGAATCCTGGAATCTCCTCCCATGATGTTCATATGTCTCCTCACCGGTAATGTGAACAGCAATTTTAAAAAGCACTTGCATAGTTTTAGATATGTGCCAGGCACTATTCTTGCCAACTTGCACAAATTAATGCATCTAATTTCCACACAGGTAGATTCTACTATTATTCACCATATTACAGATGGTGAAACTCAGGCAAGGAGAAATGAAATAACTTGCCCCAAATCACACAACTCATAAATGACGGGAGCTGGGATTTGAACGCCAGTAGTCTAACTCTAGAGATGGTGCTCTTAATTACTATACTATACTGCCCCATGGCAGTTATCTCACAGTCCTCTCCCTTACACCCCATTTTTCCCTCCTCCATGAATGCCCACCCCCATGCATCCTTTCCGGCATAGTCCCATAGTCCTCTCTTCCATGTCCCCATGGATCCCATCCCTGGCTCCTCCTCCTCCCTGAGCCTGACCATGTGCCCCATGATGCCCACACTCATACCCAGCACTATGAGTTCAGCATTCATCCGTTTGTCACCCACGGACAGGCTGTAGGTGCCTGCATCATTCATGTTCACATTGGTGATGACCAGCATGTACTTGGTGCCCATCTGCTTCACATCATACTTCCCCAGGGAGTACTGGATCCTCAGTGGTTCATTACCCTGCCCGATGAAACAGGCATAAAAGCTGGTGAAGTGGTTTAGGAGAAGATTTCCAGAGGTCCCCATTCCCCCAGGTCAACCTGAGCTGAAGGATGCCATGTCTACCTCTCTAAGATCCTCAAACACACCCAGAGGCCCCTAAGACCTCTCTAGTGTCATTATCTGCCTCAGTGGGATCCAGGGTCCCTGTCTCCCCAAGGCCTAAACTCTTAATATGCATGAGTTCATTAGATGCTTTCTCTTAGTTCTTCAGTGACCTTTAGGACTATCTAACCCAGCATTTTCAGATGGGTAGACTGAGGCATAGGGGGAGGAAAGTAACTGTCCCAAATCAAACAGCAAAGTGGTGGAACAGCTAAAAATAGAGCCCAATTCCCAGCCAGTTTCAACCATACAAGGAGTTCCATCCTCTTGATAAGATGGAAGAGAGGACATGGCTGATGGATAATGAGAGGGTCTGGAAAGGGAAGGGGTGCAGAGAGGAAATGATATTGCCAGGGTGGATCCTGCCTAGGTGCTTCCCCACCTTGACCCATGTCATCTTGATATTGGGGTCCTTCAGCTCCATAATGCATTCAAAGCACACGGTGGCGTCAACCTTGGTCTTTATATCTTCCAGGGGCTTCAGAATCCGAATGGTCTAAGAGATTGAGATAACAGAATGGCAGGTGTTAGGGGCATCTGAAGCCTGCCCAGTCTTTCCCCAATCCTGGAGGAGCCCCTCAAGGGTCTGGAGCGAAATGACTAGGCTGATTAGATGGCTGTGTTCCCCCCTACCTCCTGCCACTGATGAACTGGAAGATTTACGGGGAGACAGACATGATGGGGAATGAGAAAAGCACTATCGTTCATAGGACAGTCACTATAAACATGGGCTCATTACATAGATTCTTGAATTCCAGTGTAGATGCTTAATAATTTTGAGTTCGTTGAGTGAATGAATGACAACAACATGAAAAAAAATGAAAAAGGAAAGTATAATTTTCATTTTGTAGATGAGGAGACCGAGGTTCAGACACCCAAGTTTACACAGTTCATAAGGCATTCGAACTAGGATTTGAACCCAGGTCTGTCTGACTCTGAAGTCCATGCAAGTACATTCGGGAGTGGTAGAGAGAGGAGAGGTAGAATGAAGGTGACTTGAGTTCCTTTCATGCTTTTGCTGTCGAGAGTATGCCTTTGAGTATGTGTGTATGTGCAGGGTGGGGAGACCTTGCTACCAGGAGATACACGGCACTAGCACTTTTGGTGAGATCCATCCCCCGTTCTGCAGACCCCTGCCCCTGCCCCCCCCCATGGGTACTGACCTCCACCTCTACTTTCTTCATCCCTTTGAGCTTCTTGAGCAGCCCCCGGAAGTCAGTGAAACCATACTCTATGCAGACCTTTTCAAAGTCCTTCTTGGGCACCTTGGACAAAATCTCCAGCATCTCTTTCTCATCTGTCACCTTCTTCTGCTTCTTCTTGGGAGGAGGGGCACCCCTGGGAGGAGATGGGTGCCAAGTTTGGACTCAGCAACTCCCTCTGAAGACAGAGGGAGCCTCTTTTAACTTTGAGCTGCCCCTCCCTACTCCAAGGATTCTTGGAGTCTGGGCCATTAAATCAGGGTCCTGTTGAAAGGTCTTCGAGAAGCTCTAGCCTAGAGGGTGGGGGGACAGCACTCTGGGCAGAGGAGCCTCCCAGCCTCACCTCTTCTTCAACATCTTTTTGAAATCCAGTTTGTCTTGACCTGAGGACAGAGAGAGGGGCAGGGTCAAACAGGGGGAGTTTGGTCCTTAAGAAGAAAGTCCAGGAGGAGGGGACTGGCTCACCCTCTGTCACCAGCAAGGACACGGTGTAGATGGCATCTGCGTGGTCATTGCTTGCAATGCACTTGTAGTTGTCAGAGTCATCCAACGTCAGTGGCTCCAGCTGGAGCAGAGTCAGGCTATTAGTAGGGGAAGGGGAGGGGACCACAGGGAGACTTTCTTCGAGATGAGAAAGGAGGCTATTTTGGGAGGGGTTGGGAAGAGCTGAGTGCTGGTTGTATGTGTGGAGTTTTGAACAGCCTCTATGATTTGGAGGTACCAGGTAGCAATCTGTGTGCGTGTCTGTGTTTGTAGCCTGATACTGCATCAGAATGTCCCCCTCAGCTGTGAGCTCCTGGAATACGGGGACTTCCTCTGAGTTGTCACTCTATCTGCAGTTTCTGGCACTGGGCTGAGTACTCCTTTGTTTAACACATATTTATTCTTCCTGCCAGGTACTGGGCTGAGCCCCTGAGGAAACAGTGGCGAATAAGGCTACCTTCGTGCCTGCACAGGTCACTTACAGCCCACTGGGCTTTCAGAAAGTGCTCGCTGAAAAAATTTGTGTAAAGGGTGGCCAATAGGGGGACTCTGGGGCAGTTTGTGCTGTGCGAGAGCTGATGGTCCAATAATGGGTTTTGTGAGGAGAAGGAACCAACTTCGGTCTGTGGGGGGAGAGGGGAGGCTCTTTGCCTTTCACAGTGGAAGGTGGGGCAGGACCAATTGAAACTGGAGTAATTATAGGCCTAGGTTGCCCAGGACCCATCCCTCCTTTTCCTCAAAGGGTCTGGAACCAGAGGTTGCAGAAGTTGGTTATGCCTAAGCATTATCGGCCATTGGCAAGACTCTTCTGGAAGGCTCCCCTGAAGAGCCCAGGATCCCTAACCCTCACCCCTACTCTATGACCAGCCCCTCCGTCTGGGTCCACTTCAACTCAGCCTCGCTCCACCCACCATGGTCCCGTCTCTTTCTAGCCACTCCCTTAGCGTTGGTCTCAAGGTCCCTTGGTTCACTCACCTTCAGGAAGGCTCATTCCCTCCCATTTGTTCTGCCTTTGCCCTAGCTCTGCCTTGCCCTGCCCCTAATTTTGGTCCCTTGCTCTGGGAAAGCCCCAGCTCCTGACTGGACTCTTATCCTATCCCTCCTTTAAGGCAGTGACAGCCTCTTTTCCCATCTTCCAGTTCTTGGGTCTCTGCTGTGGCTGTCTTGTTGGTGAGAGGACCTGTGGCCCGCCCTTGGGGTCCCTGCCTCTGGTCTCATTGGTAACTGGATCTCAGGTTCAGACCCTGCACCTTTAGCACGTGCTCCTTGTTAATGCTGTCGTAGAACATCTTGGCAGACTCTTTGATGGGGATGCCACTTTCCCTCTTCCAGGAGATGTTGGGTTTGGGGTTCCCCTTCACCTGGGCTCGGAACACAGCTTTATCCCCTGCAGTGGGCACAGGACACAAGTTCACCTCTTAGCCTCCAGGCTGCACCTTCTGCCTGCTCCCTGCCTCCTCCCAGGTATCTTACCCCAGCCCAGGCAGGAGAGGAACCATTGGTCTGGCTCTGCCAGTGCTTGTGTCTTGGGGGACAGTGGTGGTGGTGGTGGGGGGGTGACAGGGACACTGGGGAAGAAAGGGAAGCATCCAGGGGCCTGGGGAGACAAGGGGTAGGGTGGGAGGGCGACGCACCCTCAGGTGAAGTGACTGGGTGAGGCTTCTCCACGAACTCAGGGACGCTCTCGCCCGCAGGGACGTTGGAACTTCGAGTCACCAAACTGAAGAACTCTACAGTGCTTGAGGACTTCGTTGTCATGACTTCCTCTGTGGTGGCAGGAGAGAGGTCAGAATGGACTCCAGGCAGAGCTCAGCTCCAGACTGGAGGGCTGGCCTTTTCTAGGGAGCATGGTAGAGCACTTTAGGCCAGTGCCCACAAGACCGGCTTTGGCTAAGAAAGGAAGCCCTTAGGAAAAAAGAACCCTCATACACTGCTGGTGGAAATGTAGATTGGAAAACAGTATGGAGGTTCCTCAGAAAATTAAGAGTAGAATCACCATATGACCCAGCAATCCCTCTCCTGGGTATCTACTCGAAAAATTTGAAAACATTTATCTGTAAAGATATATGTACCCCTATGTTCATTGCAACATTATTCATGGTGGCCAAGACATGGAAACATCTGAAATGTCCCTTCGATAGATGATTGGATAAAGAAGCTGTGGTACATATGGACAATGGAATATTACTCAGCCATAAGAAAAGATGAAATACTGCCATTTGTGACAACATGGATGGGTCTTGAGAATATGCTAAGAGAAATAAGTCAAACGGAAAATGTTGAGAACCATATGATTTAACTCATATATAGGATATAAAACTGAAAGCAACACATGAAGGAGATAAGCAAAAGCTCATAGACACAGACAACAGTATAGTTAGTGGTTACCAGAGGGTAAGGGGGGAGGGGATGGTAGAAAAGGGTAAAGGGCGTCAAATGTACGGTGACAGAAGGAGATTTGACTTTGCGCGGTAAACACACAATGCAATATACAGATAATGTATTACAGAATTGTACACTTGAAACCTATATAATTTTATTAACCAATGTCACCCCAATAAATTAATTTTTAAAATCTGAATAAAAAAAGTAAGGAGGCCTTTAGAGCAGGTGATCATTGTATTTGGCAAACTTTAACACCAGGGGGAGCCAACTCCTCTCCCACCCCCTCAGTGGTCTATCACCCTTCCTGGGCCACTGGCCCTGAGTCCTAATTTTTTTCTTTTTTAAAGAAGAAACTTCTCTTTTGGGATTTTCTTGATCACTTGTGCTTCTCTCCTGGAAGTCCTGGCTCCCCAGTAGCATTAGGAGGGGCTGGGCCTGCTCCTGCTTGGGAGGCCTGGGAGCTTAGCTGTGGGCCTTCTCCCTGCCCTTCTGTGGGCTCAGCATTCATTACCATGGGAGTAGTGATACCTGAGTAAGAGACAGAAAACATTCCCGCTCCAGTGGGACTATATATGGGAATCTCATTACCTGAAAGAGCATGCATATTCAATATGGTAATATAATTTTATATTTGGGAAACATAACGTTGTTTTTTCAACAGACACTACACTACACACAATCTTGTTGGCTAGTGAGTGAATAATTGCTCTAAATCATGGAGCCCTTTGTGTCAGGAACTATGCTAAGCACGTCAGAGATTATTTTATTTAATCCTCACAACACCCCAGTGAAGGAGGTACATTTATTATCCTCACCAACCTGAAGGGCTGAGAAAGGAAAAATGTGTTGAGAGGCCCTGTGGCCTGCTGTTGAATAGTGATCAGAGGTCTCAGACAAGCAGTGTTCAGGCTGCACTGGCCCGTACACGCGTTTTATTTGATCTCAACAATGTTTAAACAAAAAATAGCCCTACCTATAAAAATGGAGAGATTTCACATAAAAATTCAGATTTCTGGATTCTTATATTCCCATATGGTAACACTCAGTGGGAGGTGCATACGCCTGCCCCTTTAGATGAAGTATGTCCTCTCCAGTTCACCTTAATCTTTTTCCTGCATTTAAATTCCCTGCCAGGACCCTAACTGACCAGTGGTTTTACATTTTGGCTGCGTATTAGAATCTCTGGAGAGCTTTATAAACAAACACACATCTGATTTAACAGTTGGGTGAGACTAAGGTATTGCTATTTTTTTCACGCTCCCCACCCCGCGACTAAGATGACTAACGTGCAGTGCAGCACTGAGAATTACTGCCATAATCACTTGAGTCTGCAACTTCTGGTCTCAAATCCCAGTTGTTCTATTTGCTCTGCCTCACTGACAAGGAGGGCTTGGTGTAGCTTGTTTATCTGGCCTTGACCTCTGTGCACAGAGGACGTTGAGGGACTGTCCATCCAGGACTTTGAAGGAGGGGCAATGACGGGGAGGATGCATATTCAATACCCTGGCCTCTGGCCATCTTTTAATTACTTTTCTCGAGAGACATGATTAAAACAATCTGTTCTGCTCTGAGACCATTTCTCAGCTTTTCCTTGGATCTGCCCTCCCCCAGGTCTGGTCTCCAAGGGCTGAGATTCTGGAAGCTTAGGTCACTTGTTTATGTGTTCATCTTCTCTCCACTGGCAGCTCAAAGTCGCTGATTTCTTAAGTGGAGCAGGGTCAGCATTACCATGTGCAGACAAGGTAGCTACCTGCCTAACTTCCTCCATGCTGGAAATTCTACCATCGGAGAGACATGCTTTTGCCTATGGCTCTGATCACCTCAAACAATTGAGTTCATCAGTTACACACAGCCATGTACTTGATTTTTCCTGAGATGTTTTCCTGGAGATCTGATCTGTGGGTGAATATCCAGCTGGCTGAAGCTTTATCAACATACAGATTAGAAGCACAGGTTGGGAGAGGGTTGCTTCTGAGGGGCCCACTAGTCACAAAGACTGAGGTCACCCAGGGGATGGATGTGGAGAAAGACAGGATGCCCCTTTCCAATCCCTCCCATCCCATTCCACTTGCCTCCCGTGATCTTGGTTGTCTGAGAGAAGGTCTGCACATGGGTAGTGGAGCTGGAGAATTCCATGGACACATGCTCCTGTACCATCTCCTTATGAATGGTCGTCATGGTGACAGCAGGCGTGGGCACTCACCTGAGAGGACCGGGAGAGGATGAGGCCATGAAGGACAAGGAAGGGAGTAGGAGTGAGATTCAGAGTTGCTCGTGTGTGTGTGTGTGTGTGTGTGTGTGTGTGTGTGTGTGTGTGAAAGGACGGGGCAGGTGGGCACAGGAGATGGATGTCACTGGAGAAGTTGGGCAGCAAGCTTCTTCTCTCTTCTTCCCTTTGTATCTCACTTTCCCAGGCTGGTTACAAAGACCAATCAGCCTGTCCCCCAGGGATGGTAATCCTAAACCATTCCAAGTTCTGGGAGGGGGAGGATGTAGGGTGTAGGTTTACCCAGTGAACCAAGAAAGGCCCAGAGGGAGTTGCGGACCTATTGATAGCTACATGAACTAGGGAGGCAGTTGCTGGAGGTTTTATCAGAAGGAAATGAAGTCAGACCTAAGAAGGAAGTTTCTGACTAAGCCATACTGGAATGGGCCTTGGAAGGAAGCTGTGGATTTTCTTCCTGGGCCCCGGGACCTCTGGCACGGGTGGAATGCTAAAGCCAGACCACAGTGCATTTCTATAGCTCTTTTGGTTTGTGATATAGTCAAGACAGAGATTGAATTTTTATTTCTTATACTTTTTTTTTGAATTGGTAATTCAATCACATAGTTAAAAAAATGAAACAATATAAACATGTGTATGAAGAGACTCCCTCCTGCTCCTGGGCCCCTCCATCTCCCAATATTTCCCAAACAGGTAACCACTGGCGCCCTCTAGGCTCCTTCTGGAGTTCCTTCGTGAAAAGATGAATGTCTTTGTCCTCCCCGCTTTTTTACATGGAGCCTGTTATACACAGTAATCAGCCCTTTTCTTTCTCACTTCATAAATCTTGTGGACATCTCTTCACACCAGTTCATAAGGTTTCCTCATTCTTGTTAACAGCTACACAGTATTTCAATGAATGGATGTACTTGTCTAACCAGCATGGCAGTTTTTAGCCCCTTAATTTGTATATGAGGAAACTGATGTCTGAGAGAAATAACCTGTCTAATGTCAGACTGGAATCTTAGCCTCTTGACTACCAGCCCAGTGCCCTTCCAGGGGACCCCAAAAGCTCTGTTCTAAGCCAGGCTGTTTAAGGCAATCTCCCCACAATGATGTATCTCTGCCTGGCCTGTTTCTCACTCTGGGTTCTGAGACCACCCCTGTCCCCCTCCTGCTGTCCCCCTCTGGGCGCAGAAAGTCGCAGTCTCTGTCCCTTCTTGAGGGAAGACAGATATCTTACCTTTGCGTGACCAGTCCCTCCTAATCCTCAAATGCTGTGTCCACGGCTTTGGAGGCGCAGTTAGTGCCTGTGCTGTAAACTGGCCAGTCTCCTTCTTCCTTTGCCCCAATAGTGGGGCCACCAGGAGACACTGGTTCCTTAAATGTCTGGTCCCCTGGGGGCAATCCCTTACTCAGGCTCTGCAGCTGCCTCAGCTAGATGGCACACACTTTTTATTGGGGGGGGGGGAAGGGAGGGGGGAAATAAGGCTGGGGACGGGGTTGGGGTGATGGCCCAGCGGTACCTGATCTGTTCCCTTGTGGCAGAGATTTTGGTTCTCACTGCTGCTAGGTGGGAACTCTCTGAGCTGAGGGGCTCAGGGTAGTGTGTGTATGTGTGCACGTACAGTCCAATGGGAAGGTCTAGAGGGTCTTCCATTTGCATCAATCCAAGGAGGCACCATTCAGGCTGCATTCTATATATGGTGCCTGCACAGCCTGAGTGACCTCACAGGGCCACCCTGGGGGAGGAGAGGGAAATGTTAGCCCTCCCCCCTTCTCACTTCTACAGCCCAATCCCCCAATCTGGGCAGAGGGTAGGAGGACCTAATTTCCTATTGGAGGGTGGCTGGAGGGCATGCCCCCTCCCCCCCTTCTGGGACCTGCATTTCAGTTGTTCCCTCTTCTTTCCTCACTGTCTGTGCCGTTCCTGCATGCCTGGACCCTCCACCAGCGCATACAAGGTTCTGGTCTGTGAGGCCCTGCTGGTTGGTCAGCTGCCTTGCCCTGGGCTCCACTCCTGACCTGGAGTGACCCCTGCCTGCCAGCAGTGGCATCACAACGACTTTAGCTGCATCCCTGGGGGCAGGGGTAAGAATAGAGCAGGAGATCTGAGCCCACTGCGAATTCCTGGAGCCCCTCGGGAGGGGCTGCTCTCAGACCAGGCCTTAAAAGGGAAATTGCTGGGTTGCAGCTGCTGTTGGGACCTGTAGGGCTAATGTGGGATAAGTTAGCCTTATCCTGGCCAACAGGGAGGAGCCTGGGGGGTGGCCTGAATGTTCCCCTACCCCCGCCTAGGATTCTCTAGCCCATCTGTCGGAGCTGGTGGCCTGCTAGCCACTGTGCCTTCTGTAGAAGCCCTCCACACCTGTCCTTGAGGCTCCCCATGGCCCAGAGCTCCTGGCTGGATGAGGGTGTGTGAGAATCCTCTCCAATGGATTATCTTTGGCTTTCCATATTCCCAATTTCCACAAGGGGGCATTAGGGAGTTTGAGGGTCGTGTGTGTGTGTGTGTGTGTGTGTGTGTGTGTGTGTGTGTGTGTGTGTGTACACACACCTGTGCGCGCATACACACACTCGAGGAGGAGAAGACTGGAGTACAAGGAGGCAAGGAGTGGAGGGGAGAGGCAATCACACAGACCCAAGAGGGCTAGTTTTGCTCAAAATGCTCCATTTATTGCTCTATTCAATGACCACGAGCAAATTATAAAAAGACATCAAGTGTCTCTGTCTGCCGTGGAATAAATATTTAAAGTCAGCAATAAAAACACGTGGCTCCAAGATAACACATGTTGCCAAAGAGTCATGCATGCCCTGCGGATGGGCTCTCAACACACGCATGGACATAGGAACACACGCAGAGCTACACGCAGCAAGACTTCTGGGAAGGCTTTCCCACAGTAACACAAAAAAAATGTTTCACACAGATTGGGGCCAAGTCCCCACCCCATCCTCGGAGCTACACCTTTCCCTCCCGCCCCCACCAGGGCCCAGGTCCTCTGGGTTCCCAGCCCCCATCGGGCCCCTTCCTTCCCAATGCCTCACAGGCTGGTCACTGCTCGTGACAGCATCTGACACCCCGGGGCCACCCAGGCTGTGACACTCCTCTCTCCCAGCTGAGAGTCCTCTCCCGTCTCACAAGCCCACCGTGCCTGACCCCCAGGACCTCAGGCCCCTCGCCCCACCCTCATCCCAGTCACTGGACGCAAAACGTCATCTGCCCGTTGGGAGGAGGGGGTGGGGCCGGAGGCAGGCACCTCTGCCTGGGCTACTTAGGGGCTGGAGCTCATGACCCCTTTCCAGGGCTGAGGAGACACAGTGTCCGGTATAGACAGCAGAGATGGATGGACAGACAGAACACGCAGTGGCAGAACACTTGGAGTGCGGCACAAACATTTTGGATCAAGTAGCAATGGAACCATCGTTAAAAACTGAGGCCCCAGGTCTGCGTGGTGTGGGTCAGGTCTTGGGGCCCCAGGCCTGGCCTGGCACATCCCTCCCCCACCCTGCCCCACTCCCCTATATATATATACAGTAGGAAGAGCTATGTTGGGGGAAAGGGGCCAGGCTGAAGGAAGCGGGGGAGGCAGGGCAGGGAGCAGGCCAGGACCCAAGGCGGGGCCCTGGGGGTGGCTGGGGTGAGGGTCCAGGCTCAGGCTGGGTGGTGCCCAGAGGACCTCAGAGGAGGAATGAAGTCACTCCAGGGACTGACAGGATAGCTGCTTCTCATAGAGGCTCATGACATGGTGCACAAACTGGTACTGCTCACACGTCTGGATCATGCCGCCCCTGCCCAGCAGAGACACACAGTGGGGATGGGGCTGTTGCGAGACGGGCTGCAGGAGGGTGTCCCCTAAACCCGTGGAGTACCAGTCATTCGTGAGGGGTCTTATCTTTATGCAGCTTAGAGAGGCCGGCCCTTTCCAGCCACTCCCCTGTCCTTCTTGTCCCTCCCGGCTCTGACACAGATAGCAGGGACGGGGACGGCATGTCCCACGGCTCTCAGCCCGTCCTCTGGCCACCAGCTCTTCCTCCGCCCTCTTCATCCAGCCACCAGCTGTCCGGATCCAGCCCCTCTGCCCATCTGTCTTCCCTCCCCGCATCAGCGCGTTGGTCCATACCTGCTGTGTCCTCCTGCCCCTCATCCCATGCATGTGTCAGTCTCTCCCTGCTGCCCCTGCTGCTCTAGCTCTCCAGGTGCTCCCGCCCCCCACCTGTGGGCTGACCTGTCCTGACGGAGCTGGCAGGTGGTCTTCAGGATGTCCACCACGCCCTCCTGCCGAAGCTGCTGGCAGCAGATGCTGGTGGCAATGAAGCAGCCAGTCCTCCCAATCCCTGCACTGAGGGCCGAGGGGGTGGGCAGAGTGAGGGGCAGGGCAGCAGGGGGCGCTGCCCTGCCCTGGCTGGTGGCTGGGAGGACCCACCTGCAGTGGACAACGATGGGGGCGCAGTGGGGCCCCTCCTGCTGGGTGGCCTCCGCCACTTCCCGTACCAGGTGAAGGAGTGGGGGGGCCCGGTCTGGGGTCTTCTGGTCAGGCCAGGATGTGAACCAGTAATGCTTCAGGCCTCGCTCTTCAGTCCCGCTCTGCCCAGGAGACAGAGGCCCACCCCAGATACACTTGAGCTCTCTGAGCCCACAAACCAGCCCAGGGATGGAGATGGGATGGGAGGAAGAAGAACACAGGAGGGAGGACACAGGGAGTGGGACCTTTGGCCTTGGCCATCTATAACACATTGCCCAGGGGCACCAGACAAGAGACCCAAAGCCATCTTGGTACTGGGGGCTGACGAGCGACGTCAGCATTGGTCTTCATGTCAGTTCTGCCCCAGCAATTCCGGCATCATCCAAGAGAGGTGAAGAGTCCCTCTCCAATTCATTCCTTTCTCTCAGTTCCTTAACAAATAGCCCAGGCACCCAGTGGAAGTTCTGGGACCCTTCCTCTCACCTCACTGTGCTTGGTTTGCCTACCCCTACCCCTGGCAAATGCTGTCATTTCCCTCCCTCCTCTCCATATTCCCCTCTCCACCATGACCACCTCTCTTCCACTTGGGCCTTTATCATCTCTCCCCGTGTAGACCTCTCCTTCCCCTATGACTGCTGCATCTCCACACCAGTCAAAATGGTCTGCCTACAGCACAAATCTGGACATGCTGCTCTCCTGCTCAGAACCCTTCCATGGCTCTCGTTACTCTGAATAAAACCCATTCTCCTTTGATTTCAGCCTGGCAAATAAGACACGCATTGCAGGTTCTACCCTTCTAGGGTCATCTCCTGCCCCTGCATACTGGTACTCTATGCTCCCACACTCCTAATGGTTTGTAGATAGAAACCTCTGCTACACACACACACACACACACACACACACACACATGCACATGCTCACAGCTATTCTATCTTCCATGACCTTACTTTTACTTTTTCCTCTGCCTGGAATGCGCCCTCCATTTGTCTGCCCCCTGGTCAACTCTTATTCATCCTTCAAAACCCCATTCAGCATCACCAGTTCCAGGAAGCCCTCCCTAAGCACCCCAGCTAGCTGTTTCCTTCTGTGTTCTTACCTACCTCTAGCTCAGTACTTACCATATATGGGTGCTCTTTGAGGAGAGTCCAGGCTTTAAACAGCTCTGTGTTCCCAGTACCCAACCCAGAACCAGGCCCAGGGCAGGTGCTTATAAAGGTTTATGGAAAGAAATAAATACTTCCCAACCCTCACCTGCCCAGTTCTTCCTTAACTAGTCCTGTGGCACTGAGAAGATGAGACAACCCCTGCCTCCCAGCCTCTCTTTCTGGGGAATCAGGAGGCTGGTTCCTTGGGAGCCTGCGTCATCTGCTCCCTATCTCCTGGCCTTTTCTACCCCCTAGCCAGACCTATAGCTCAGAGCCACTCAGGTGGAGAGGGTGCAGCTCAGAGGAAAAAGTCTCGGGCCTGGAGCTGGACCCCAAGGCTGCCAGCATCACTGGATTTTCCAAGCTGTTTCTGGATAGGGCATCAAGCTTTCTGGTGCCCGGTTCACGTCTTCCAACCTTTGGGGTTATTACTGTGGCTCCACCTTACCCAATCATGGCTGTTATCATTTTTCAAAAGCAGACCCACTGATCCTCCTGATTCCAAAGGAACAATCTCCTCTATTATGCTGCTCCTGGAAGAAGCACAACTTCAGGGTGGGAGGATGCCTCCCCCAACTCTTCTGGGCTGTTTTGTATTGCTCATATTTTGTGTATCTTCCTTTTTCCCCTTTTCTGTAATCACCACCTCTGTGCAACCCAAATGCAGCAAGGAGGGCCTTCCCTCTGGTGGACAGACTGTGTACTACAGGCCAGAAGCCGCGTATCGCAGGTAAAGGGGATTGCTTCTAGCCGGGATCTCAAAGTCATCATGGTCCTTTGGTTACAAGGACAGGGCCGGAGGCAGCTGGAGACCCCTTATCCAGAGAGTCCTGGATTTGGGTGCATTTAAAGCAGAGCTGAAAGGTATTATGAATGACAGTGTAGACACAGAGAGAGCCTAAGAGCATGAAATACAACTGAGGTTTGGTCCTGCTTCTGACCCCCAACTCCATTCACCCCTCCCTCATCCCTGCTCATCAGTAAATCCTGGGAGACACAGGCCTTAATTTCAGGTAGCGTGGTTTCTGGGACCCTGTTTTCTGTGGAGTCCCCAATCAAGCCCCTGCCCCCATCCACCCAGCCCAGCCCAGCCCAGCCCCAGGCCTCACCCTGAGAGAGATGAGTCGCAGCCGGTAATCCTCAGTGTGAATGACTTTCCGCACGGTGATCTCGATACCGTCATACACCACCTGCTCCTCTGGCCAATACTCAGTGCACTTCTGCAAGGGCCCAGATCAGGCTGAGATACCCTCCCAGTTCCCCAACCACACTCTTCCCAGTGCCTCTCCAGGGTTAGCCAGGAGAGATATAAAAGTGCAACAACAGGTTTGTGGTTAGAGAACACAGCTTCGTAACCTGTAAGTCACTTCCCTTTTCTGAGCTTCAGTTTCCTTATCTGGAAAATGGGAGTAATACCCATTTTGAAGGACTTTTGTGGAGTTTCAATGAAATGGGCTGTTACAGGTCTAGAAGTAGCCAGCACCAGCCCTGGGAAGCTGGAAGGCAGCAAAACATCCTGCTTAAGAACATGGGCACTGGAGGTAGAGAGGCCAGCTCCAGGCCCTGCCTCTGATAGCCTGTGTGGCCCTGAACAAAGGACTTCACCTCGCTGAGCCTCACACGTCCTCACCCTGACAGCAGAGTGAACACTATCAACCTCACAAGATTGTCGTGAGAATTAATAGGGAAGCAAGATGCTTAGCACAGGCACAAAGCAGCAGGCATCTGGTAACGGCGCGGGGTGCCTACCTCGTTCATCTCTTCGATGTTGGTGATCATGACAATGATAGGCGTGTGCTCCTGCCACACCATGCGCCAGAAGTCGCCGACCGTGCTGACGATGGGTCCCTGAGTGGCAATGTACACCTTCTCCTCCCCACCGTAGCCCTGCGGCCAGCCAAGTCCAGGCTGTCAGGGTCAGACGCAGTGTTCCCAGGACCCACTCCCTATACTCAGGCTCTTCCCAGGGGCTTGCAGCAGCCTCGCTGGCTTAGGGACAAGCCTAAAGGACGGATCCCATCGGTTTGGGCCTCCTTGTCAGGGAGAGGCCATCGGGATAGGGCTACGTACCCGGATGTAGTTGGCGTTGATGTAGGAACTCAGAGGGTCGTCAGGGTCTGGTGAGGTCAGACACACTCTGCTGTGAGGGTCTGGGGTGGGGGAGACAGGTGAGGCTGGGGTCTGACACCTGCAAGCCTGCTGGGGCAGGGCCCACCTTTTCTGGCCCATGCAGGGCACCCACATTTCTTCTGGAACTCTTGAAGTTCCTCTTTCCCCTGCCCAGTAGCAAAACACTGACCCATCCCTGCAGCCCACTGAGGCAGGTGAGGGCCAAGGCTGAAGAGGAAGTTAGAATGCAAGGCCCTGGGTCTCTACCTCTGCAGCATCAATGCCTGCCCCTTGCCTGTGTCCCTTAAACTGTCCTGTACTCACTATGCCTCATGTTCTGGAGAGAAGAAAAGCTAAGTCAAGAAAGAAATTACCTAGGGCACACATCCTAGACAGCAGGGGCAGTGAGAGTTTGAGTACACACTCTCATCAACGTGCTGTGCACACTTGTAAAGCACATGGCCTTTCTAAGCTTCAGTTTTCCTGTCTGTAATATGGGGGTAAAGATGCCTACTTCCACAACTAGACTGAAGAACAAAACGACAGCAACTTGTCTGTTCCCCTTCCCCCAATTCCCCAGCGCTGTTCCCATCCCCCCAATTCCCCAATAAAAAAAAATCTTTAAAAAAAGCACCACCCTAACACTATGTGGTCTGTTCTATTAAAAAAAAAAAAAGATGCCTACTTCCTAGGATTGAAAGGTAAGTGCGAAAACAGCTGTGAAAGAGCTCTGTAAACTGTAAAGTACTTTATAAAGGGCTGTTAAGATTTCGGGGATGAAAACTGAGGGACAACATTGGGATGAAAGGAGTAAAGCCTGCCATGTCTGAGATGAAGCTGTAGGTAGGGTCTTAAAGCTGAGCTGTGTGTACGAAGAGGTCTTTTTTCTCTTAACTCCATTCACATGTCAAATCCCATAGTCAAATCTCATAACATCCTGCTCTTCTTTCTGGAGTGGAATCTGTTTTGTGGCAGCTACAGCCTCTCCGTATTGGCTGTTCTGTCAGCCCGCGGAGGCTGGGATTGAGATGGGAACAGTGTGCGGGTGGGCAGGAGGCTGGCTGGGGGTCCCGGGGTCCTGGTCCTGGTCTAACTTTGTCACCAGTTCACCCCCTTGTCTGGGCCTCGGTTTCTCGCCTGTCTAAGGAGGCTGGACTGAAGGCACTTCCAGCATGTACAGCACGGGGCTCTCAAAGGCAGTGCAGGGAAGTGGCTAAGAGTCTACTCCGCAAAGCCAGAAAGCCCGGGTTCAAGTCCTGGCTCTGACTTACTAGCAGTGTCAACGTGGGCCGTTTACTTCATCTCCCTCTGTGCCTTATCTATCAAGCGGGAACATTTCTCGCACTACAACGGCACATCTTGTAAAGATTAAAGGAGTGACCATGACCGAGTCCTTAGAGCAGCAACTTGGCCCAGCACACAGAAAACAGTATACAGCAGGTTCTTCTCCTTGTCAGCGCCTGCCCAGATTGGGTGCCAAAAGTGCACACAGCCCCCCCTCTGGCCAGACACCAGGGTCTACTTGGTATTAAAGAACCACTGTGGGGATGGGCATGGTCCTATTGACCCTACTGAGCACTGCTTCCGTGCCTGGCACTGTGCTTGAGAGTAGACACTCCTAAATAAACAAGACACGGTCCCTGCCCCAGAGTGTTGGGCAGGCACTCAAGCAGTGTGTGGCTTGTGAGCCCTGGCGATGAGGACATAGAGGGGCCCCTCGATTTGGCTAGGGTGGTTAGGCTTCCCAGAAGAGGTGGTACCTGGGCTGGGTTTAAGGGACCGGTAGAAGAAGTGGGGAACACTGTTCCTGTCTGATTCAAGTGCACAGGGCAGGTGGGGGCTGGTGAGAGATGAGCTGGAGAGGAACCTGTTGACAAAGGGTCTTATAAACCACATTTATAAGGCTGGACCTAAGCCCGACAGTTACAGAGTGACACGACAATGTTTAAGGAGGAAAATGACACAACTGGATTTCTGTTTTGCATCATTTTGGTGACAATGGTAGAAGATGGACGGGAGGGGAGAATGTGGAAGTCAGGAGACCAGATGGAAGATTGCCGCAATGACCCAAGTAAGAAGTGTCAGGGGTCAGAGGGTATTATGTCAATGCCGTCTGTAACTAGCGCCCCTGGGAACTGGGAAACACGGAAGGCCCCCCCCCCAAAAAAAAAAGTCATTTGGCAGTGAAGATGGAGAGGGGGAGCTAGATTTGAGAGATTCATTCATTCATTCATTCGTTCATTCACATTCAGCCATTCATTTGCTCACTCAAATAGGTGCAGAATGTCTACTATGTATCAGGCACTATTTTGGCGCTTGGGACACAGTGGCAAAATGGACAGAAACTGCTCCTCTGCGTCTGGTTCTCAGTGCTGCCTGCTGGGTTACTGGTCACTCTGTGCTGAAACTGTCCTTGGATCTGTCTCTCCCACCAGCCTGTGAGCTCCCTATGTGCAGAGTCTGTGTCTCATTCATGTCTGAATTCTCAGCCTCAGCCAGGGGTAGGGGCTCCGGAAATGTACAGAATGTATGCAAGAACAATCCTCAGGGTGCTCTGGATTTGAGAGGGGGCTTCTGCCAAGACTGACCTGCCCTCTTGTCACTGCTTCCCCCGCTGCCCCAACACCCCCATTCTAGTCTCTGAGGACACAGGGTCAATTCTTGTTGGCCACAGGGAAGATTCTCTGTTGGGCTCGGGGCCCAGGAGGCTCAGGACAGAGGTGGAGGTAGCGCGAGGTCTCTCATCTATCCAGTACCCAGGGGAGCGATGGTCTGGCTCCCCATCCTTTCCCAGTGGCCATTCTGTGTGGCCAGCAAAGGCCTAGGTTCTGATGTACCTGAGCCTCTCCCTCCAGGTGGGGCTCGGCGGTGAGTGGGGGGCAAGATGAGGGAGAGGTGAGCAGCCCTGAATAGTGCATCCTGGCCTTAAATGGTGCTTTGTTTAACTGGAACTACCTAGAGACTGTGTAACCATAGCAACCACAAGTCGAAATTTTAAAAGTTAAAAATAAGTCATGACATCTTACATGTTGTTGGAAATGCTGATGGCAAAACTGCTTTTTTAAAGCCTCGTCACTCCACAAACTGAGCGGAGTACGTTTGTGGGGATTCACTTTCAACGTCACCTACCCCCCACCCCCCAAAGCTAGCCCTGGGGCTTGGGGTCAGAGCTCTGTAGGGTGACAGGCAGACAGGAGCTTGATTCAAGTTACCTGAAAATGACACACCAGGGCTGAAAGAGAAATGTTAGGTCACCTGGTCTAACAGCCCCTAAAGGGGGAAAACCCCTGTCAGACCTACCAGGGGATTGCTCATACAGCCTTGCGTGAACACCCTGACTGGTGGGGCGCTTACTACCTGACAGGCAGCTCCTTCTCTCCTGGGGTGGCTCTGCCTGTTAGAGGATGCACCGTCTGGACAAACTAAACTCAAGGCAGACAAAAGAGCCCAATTCTGGGGTCACAGAGGCCCAGTTTGAAACGTAGTTCTGTACTTCTGAGCTGTGTGACTGTGGATGAGCCACTTAACCTCTCTGAGCTGAATCTCCTCTCCTTAAAATCTGCCCACTCTGAAGAGACAAAGGATGTGCAAACACTTTCAGTCACCACGCACTGTGTAGGAGCTGCTGTTATCATCACTCTTTCTCTCTGGATTTCCAGAGAGCCCAGCACAACACTTGGCCAGGTCAAGGGTCCAAGTGCTGTGTGAAGGAATGAACTAACCTCTGCCCTCACCAGGGGGCATTTCCCTTCACTGGGCACCCCCACCCTCTGTCCTTAGCTCTGGAATTAAGGTCTTCCTCAGGGTGACGGGGCACCCAGGTGAGGATGAGCCCATCCCCACCCCCTGGGGGAGTCAATACTCACTGGGAAGGATGGTTCTGTACCGGTTCTTCCGCACCAGCCCAGGGATGTCGTACTCTTTCGGATCCACAAAGTTCATGGGGATTTCCTGCAGGAGGATGACACGGGGATGTGAGTAGCTGTGGGCTGTCACAGATGTTTGAGTCCAGGGGCTGGCTTCAGTACATGCATTCATTCAACAAACATTTACTATTAAATGAGTTAGTGCACATAAAAAACATTTAGAGCAGTGTCTGACACATGCTGAGTGCATAATAAATGTTATTATTACTGCTGTTTATTGAGAGCCAGTCTGGCACATGGCAGACACTCAATATTAACGATTGATGAACAAAGAGGAACAAGAGAAAAAGCGACCTGGCCAGTCATTGCTTTCTTCCACACTGCCTGTGCTGCAGCCACACTGAGTGGCTTTCTTGATCTGTGTTCTTGCTTTTGGACATCCCCACCTCAGAACCTCATGTTGTGCTGCTTATTGTATGATAACATTCACCTCCATCCTTATCTTCTTATGTCCTGTGCCTCTTAAATGCCACCTCCTCCAAGAAGCCTTCCATGATTCTCCAACAGGAAAGCAGCCTTCTTCTGAGCTCTCAGGGCTGTATTTGTACCTCCCAGTAACGCTCTGTGTCAAGCGCTCCAAGTCTGAACTTCTCTGTCTGGAATGTGAGGTATTCTGGAATCTGGCCTGTCATTACTGTCAGCTGCTCTCAAGAGAGCCGCCCTTCAGTTCCGCTGGTCTCTTCCTGTGGCTAATATGCCATTCTCCATCTTACCTGCAGGTCTGAGCTCATGGCATTCCACTTGCAGAGAGCACCCCTCTTCAACTCTCCACATCATTCCCACCCTTTAAGGTCCCCCTCTAGCCTCACCTCCCCCCGTCCTCTCACCTCTGCACTCCCCATCTATCTGTCCACATAGTTGAGCACCTGACCCCATATAGTTTTATAGTGTTCACTGTGTTTGGACCCACTAAGCATACACTTTGTAAAATGAGGATTTAATACTCACTTTCTAGGGTTGTTGTGAGAATCAAAAGAATAAAAACTGTGCAAAAGCACCCATGGAGTGGGTGTGCAGGCTGTGTTCCTTTCTCTCTGGGAAAAATCGACAATGATCTACTGAACAGGAAACAACAGAAAGGATGCAAACCCTTTATTCAAGGGGAGGCGATGGTAGTGGGAGCTCAGAGCCCCGAGTAAGGACTGGGTGGTCCAGGAAGGCTTTCTGGAGGCATGCAGGGTGGGAGAGAACATGTGGAAATGTTTGGGAGGAGAAAGACATGGGGGGCTGACCCAGTTTGAAGTGGACAGTCTCTACAGGGGTCTGGGGACATGAGGCTGGAGAAGGGGGCTGGGCTAGCCCAGCTCAGTAAGGCAGGCCATGCCACGTTCTACAGCATTTGGAGCAGTGGGGTCACAGGGAGATGGAGGTCTTCTCAGAGAGGAGCGCCATTCAGTCTAGACAGGGAGCAGGGTGGCCTAGGGCGAGGGAAGCTGTGAGGGAGGCACACGGTTCCCCATTCCTCTGGCTTCTCCCAGGAGGGACTGTCCCCAAATACTCATGACCTTTCGTCCAACATGCCCACAGAGGTGGGCGAGTGACCTGATGGGTGCATTTGACTGAGGGACGGGCTTTTGGACCCCAGCCCCTTCCTTCCTTCTCCTTTTGGGGCCTTCCTGTTAGAAAAGAACTACAGGAATGCCCCATGGGGTGAGACCCAGGGTGTGCCAGCACCACTTGGAGTGGGCAGAAAGTTTGTTAATTCTGGGGGTCGGTATTAGGAAGCTTGCTATTGCTGCATACCTAAGCCTCATTTTAAACTTAGTCTTTACCAACAAAAATAAAGGCGATATTGTGATCTCCTAAGTCCTAGCTCTTAACTGGCTGAGTGCTCAGGCAGGTAAAACAGGGCTGTCATGTATCAGGTCCCTCAAAGTTCCCAACAAGAGGCAGCTGGAAGCTGTTGCAGAGGTTTAGAGAGGAGGTGATTAGGAACACCTTAAGCTATAGCCACAGGGGTGGAGAGATATCAGTGCAGGATGAACAGCGCTTGGTGATGTGAGGCAGGGGGAGGGTGGGAAAACAGGAGCCAGAAAAAAAGGCTTTCTGTGGCTTTCAAGGCACAGTACTGGGCACTAAAGACTTGAGAATGCCACTTGTACACCAATCACCTGACGGGCGCTTTGCACACATTGGTGATCTCTTTAATTCTTGCAACGTCCCCATCATCTTATCCTCATTTTCCAGATGAGGAAACTGAGGCCCAGAGCGGAAACAGTTTGCCCAAGACAGTAGGAGAGCTGATAATGGAACAATGTTAACCTAGCAAATGCTGAGTTCTGAGCACCCAACTCTACTGTCTTGTTAGGTGGGTGACTGACATGAGCACAGAGGTCTGACCACTGTGGGGTGGCCGGCTCAGGGGACTCACAAAGAATTCTGCCTGCAGCAGGAAGGGGTCCAGGGCCTTTTCGTGAAGCTCCTGGGCCTGGAGGATGCGGGAGGCGCTTAGCAGGTACTCGCGGGCCGACTCTTCCCGTGGAGACATGAGATAGCCAAAGCCCTCTTCGTTGCAGCCTGGTGTGCACATGTCCAAGGTCAGGGAGACATTGGAGCCCCTCCTGGAAGAACCAGGAAAGAGGAAGTGAGTCTCAGGGGCAGGGAGGGGCATTAGCTGGGGACCTTGGAACAGGAAGACGAGGGAGGGAGGGATCAGGGGTAGGAACAGGGTGGGTTCCACAAAGAGGGGTAGGAGTGTGACAGCACCCTTGATATAAGGAGCATGAGTCTCAGTTCCAAGGCTTAGGCCCGATTCCCCACCTCCTGCGTCTTGCAGTGGAGTAGCTAACTGAGTGGGGGGTTGGGAGCCCCAGCTCCAAAGGTTCCATCTGAGGCAACCTCAACACAGCCCTCCCCTATATTCTCCTCTGTCACTACCAGAGGCAGGGCCCAGCCCTGTGGCCCCCAGGAAGCTCCCAGAGAGAGGGCACCTGCCTAGAGCAGAGAAGCAGGGCTCGACCCTCTGTATCACGGTCCTGGGCCCGGTAGTCTGGGATGAGGTTGCCAATGAGTCAAGGACATCTCATCCAGGAGAGGCCGGGGACCCTCGGCTGTCAGGGAAAGAGGGAGTTCTAAGGGCAGCACAGCAGCGGCAAGGATGTCTATCCTGGACAAACTCTACCGTGTTCAGTGTCTAAAGACACAGAACAGGAAGGGCCCTTATTACACAGAAAGGGAAGCCGATTCCCAGAGAGGGGGTGAGAATTGTCCAAGCTTGCTAGTAAGGGGTGGCAGAGCTGAAACAAAACCTATGTTTTCTGGCTCCTCATCTAGTGCTCCTCCTATGACATCATGTGGGCAACTCCAATCTGGTGTGATCTGGCTTACCCAACTGGGCTCTCAAAAGAGGGTGTCGATACCTCCTAAAGTGTGTTCTATAGAACACTACAAGGTACTCTATAAAAGTAGGGTTCTGTGGTCAGGTGACTTTGCGGAATGCCACACATTACTCCCTTGTTGATTTACAACCAACACAAGCATGTTAAAGGCTCTGACAAGTCCTGCAGTAAAGAAACCTATCCAAACTAACTTGAGCACAGCAGTGTATGTGTGAGTGTGCACATGTGTACACTTGTGTATGCCTCTGTGTTCGTGTGCAGTAACAGTATTCCTTAGCATTCATCTTGGGGCATTCTGATCTATGTGCATCAGACCTGAAGAGCATGTGTCTACACTGGCTAAGCTATGACGTCAGCTCAGTCCTGGACACTGGGAGTTAGGGTCAGGCATCTGCCCTTCTGATTGGGAGCTGAGAGCTCCAGGGCCCAGAGAGCCCACCCCTCCTCCACCCCTCCCACCTCTCCTGCAGACCCATGGACTTGACGGTCAGTGATGTGGGGTCGGCCTCAGGCTTGATGTCCATCACGCAGTCAAACACAGGAGTCTCAGGGACCGGGTCCAGGTCCAGGAAGTCATCCTCGATCTTTTCCTCCATCCACTCCGAGTAGGTGAAGGAGGGCTGGCGGCTCACCGACTGGCGCCTGTCTTCGGGGGGCAGTGGGGTGGGTGGCTCTGGGGGAGCCCTCAGGAGGTGCCACACCTAGTTGGAGGCATAGGGCATCATGGACATGGGACCATGCTGCTGCCCCCTGGCTGATGGGCTGTCCATGGGATTGAGCCCCCTGCCCCTCAGTGTGTCCAGAGCGGCCCTGCTCTCCTAGGAGCTGTCTGCAAGGCACTGCCCCTCACCAAGATGGGAGGCTCCACCCTGCATCTTATCCTTTCTGCCCCCTCCCGCCCCTGACATTCAGTTTCTTGTGGACTGAGGGCTTCTTGGTGGGTGTGGGGGTTCCTACTCCAGTCTTCTCCCTGCATCAGCCCCTACCCCCGGCCTAGAATACTGCAAACCAATTTTGAGAAAGTAAGTGCTTCTCACCCCAGGTTGGACAAACCAGTTGAAGGAGGCAGATACCTTGTCCTTGGCCCTACCTAGAATGTCTAGTCTGTAGGTCAAATCAAAGCTTTTGGGGATCAGCCTCAGGGTCAGGGGAGGGGCGCACCGAGGCCGGGTCAGGAGGTGCCTTACCAGGGTGGTAATGAGGAGCACAGACAGAGAGACCAGCAGCAGACTGAAAACTTCCCAGGTCCCAATGCCCAGCCAGGCCTGGGGGACAGGAGACAAACAGGTCAGGTTGGGGGGGGGGGCGGGGTGCAGAGATCTCATCTGTTTCAACAGGGACAGAACCAACCAAGGCTCTGAAAACTTTGGACCAGGTCTGGGTGGGGAGCAGCGGGGAGCGCTTCAGGGCTGTGGAAGTATCTTCTGAACTCAGAGACGCCCCATGCAGGGGTTGGTAGGACTGGAAGCCCCCCTCCTCCGTCCTCCCCTGGGCATCCCCGGAGCTACTCACCACGGGTCCTAGCTGTTCCAGGAGTGTGAGCAAGGAGGAGGAGAGGTCTGTGGCATTCTGTGACCAGGTGGGGCCATAGCCGCTGAGCCAGAGCATCCCGCAGGCAAGCTGGGACAAGTGGACTGGGTTCGGGGCCTGGGTTCCTCGCCTCTTATTCCCCCCTGCAGAGCTCACCTTCTGCCTCAACCTGGCCCCCCCAAGGTCCAGACTGAGCAGCTGAGGAAAGGGCCCAGGTACTGTGTGCCCAGAGACAGCCTCAGTACTCTCCCTGGAGAAAAGTGGACTGAAGGGAGCCAAGAGAAAGTCCTTCCCAGAGGGGACCCTCCCCTGCCCCGGACCCCCACCCCATCCCCCACCTCCAGCTGAATACATAAAAAGGAAAGTCTCCCAGAGATACATCATAGACAGGAAGTCCTCAGAGACCCCTGCAGATCAGGGGGATATGTGTGTGTGTGTGTGTGTGTGTGTGGGGTGCTATGTTCCTGCTTTTGGGGTTAAGGAGGGCTTAGCTATCTAGGCTGTAGCTCAGAACTCCAGCCTTCTCTTCATGCCAACCCAAAGGCTGGGAGTTGCTGAGGGACACCAAGAAGGTCCCTCATCTTTCTGTATCCCCAGACAGCCATTTTGGGGAGGAACTGGAAGAATGTCCCTTGACACGCACTATCTCCAGGCCCTTTTGAGGCCTGCAAAGTCCTTACCAGGAACTGGGAGGCAGCTAACAGGCACAGGCTGCTCCTGACAGTGAGGGAATGGCTCCTGGTGCCTTGAGGTGTTGGCTTCTGAGCTGGCTCTGAGGGCGGTGAGGGAGGCAGTGGCATCTCTCTCTGCGAGTCCGTGAGCCCTTCCGCCTGGTCCAGCGCCTCCATCACTACCGGCTGGGGGAGACCTGCGCGAAGCAGACAGCAGACCGGTGACTCGGGTCCTGCAGACCCATGGCGGGCCGCTCCCTCTGGGGCTGCTGCAGCTTCCTCTCAATCCGGGATCAGTCAGCGTGGCTCCACTTCCAGCGTTCACCCTCGATTAGCAAAGCAATATTCACCTACCTTCGTCAGAAAGAGCTAAGTGTGGGTGGACAAATTATTTCTCTTTTATTTCTCCAGTAACAGAGTTAAAATGGCAGGAGGTTTTTCAGGGAGTTAACATCGTTGTGTTTACGCAGCTTCATTCTTTTCCATTTCTTAAGGAAACAAAAACCAACCACCTCAAACTCAATTAAAAGAGAGAGAGAGAGAGGAAAAAAAAAAAAAAAGACATGGCATAACCAGGTTGTGAACCTGAACAGCCCACCCACGCCTGCCCTCTGGATTTTTGACTCTCGTGCTCTGTGCCCTGACTGGGGCTAGAAGTTGGACACTTAAGATCACAGCCACATGCCCCTCCCCCACCTCAAGACCCCACACTGAGGGGGTGTGGGGGCACTAGGGTGGTGTGGAAGAAAATCTTGGTGTAGTAGAATATCAAACATTTGGGATTCAGTTATGGGTCTGTCTCTAATTGTGTGACCTTAGGAGAACTACCCCCCTCTCTGGGCCTCAGTTTTCACACCTGGAAAATGGGAATTAGGCTCAACCTTTGGTTTCCTAACTGTGCTTTTTAGAGCCCTAGCAATTTCTCAGGTGCACCAGGCATTACCAAGTGCTCTGAGTCCCTATGCTTGTGGCTCAACCATGGAAGCTCTGCTTGTCCCTGTTCCATACACTGGGTTTCCTCTATGGTTATTTTTATATTTCCACTACTAAAATAGTCTGAATAGCACTGGCTTACGTCTGAGGCCCTGGCTGTAGTGTAGGGATTCCAGCAGCAGCCACCTTGATGAGTCCCAGATGTTGAAGGTTGCCATCCAAAACCACATGTTTCAGTCTATTGCCAAGAAGAGAGGGGCCAGCAAAATGGGTGCGTATGGCTTGACAGTGGGGATGGGACTGTCCGCACACCATTGCGTATATGGGACAATGGACTCCTTTTCTGGTTGGGCAACAATGGAACACCCACAGCCAAGACCACACGAGGCCAACGTCGTTGTTTGTCCATGTGCTGGCTTGCTCACGCCATCAACATTTACTCAGTATCTCCCATGGCCAGGATCAACAGGGCGGTGCAGAGCCCAGGTCCCACCGACAGCTGTATTTCTGTCACAGGCTCCTCCTCCCCAGGTGCTGACGCTGTATGGCTTCCCACCTGCTGTGTTCCAGCCACACTCCATGTAGTTCCTCAGGGGAGCTCACGCCCTGTACCTTACACATGCTTTTCCCTCTGCTTGGAACATCTTCCCCCCACCCCCTGCAACCCCTCCAACACTTTGCCAAGTTAACTCCTATTCATCTTGTAGAACCCAATCAGATGTCACCGGAAGAAAGTCCTGCCCTATCATATATGCCTAGCACCCCATGCCTTTCCCTCATCCCACCAGCAGCAGCAGTGTATCTGGGATGTGCAAGACCCTGCTTTGAGTGCTTTTTGTGTGAGAATTTACTCACTCTTCATAGTACCCCTATGAAGTTGGTAGTACTATTATCCTCTTTTTACAGAAGATGAAGATGAGGTGCAGAGACGTTAAGAGACTTGCCTAAGGTCAGATAGCTAAGTGGTCGAGGTAGGTTCAAACAGAGGCAGTGGGACGGGCTTCCGGCTACAGTACACTCACCACGGTTTGTAAAATTATTTGTTGACTATCATCTCCCCCACTCATCTGTTAAGTTCCATAAGGGCAGGAGAGCTATCAGTTTTGTTCTTTATGATTGTCCACGGCAGCTAACACAAGTCCTGGCATGTAAACCTGCAGTAAATACTTACTAAATGAGTGAATGATGATGGGTAAGTGATAATCTTTTATTCAGTTTTCTTACTGATAAATGGGGATAATCATAAGTACTTTGAAAGGCTATATGAAGACTACAGATACTATAGATGAAAGACCCAGCATGGCATGTGGCATCTATAATAGGTGCTCAATAAATGCCAGATTATAATAATGATTACACATGATCCCCAATCTCATGGGTAAAACCGACCAGTGGGTATGTGTTTATAATACGGTGCATTAAGTGAGAAATCTAAGTGCTGGTGGAGTCCAAAGGAGCTGGGGGAGGGCACCTACCTTTGCCCATAAAGGCTACAGTTACTAACCACTTGAGCACACAGCTCAGATCCTGGCCAGCAAGGTGAAACAGGAAAAGCTGCTGCTAAGAGGTGGATCATATAGGAAGCAAAGAGTTTCCACTATTGATAAGTGGAGGGTTGATTACTTAAGTAGCAAGGTCTCCACCCACACCCTCCAAAAAAAGCAGTCCATAATGCTGCCAAATATAGAAAGCTGGGAGGGGTATAACCCCCCTCCCCCGCCTCCTGGTCAGGGGCTTGGCTCTGCAATGCACACACTGTGGACTTTGGACAATCCTTTCTTCTCCCTGGCTCTCAGCTGCCTTAAAAAGAGGGGCCTGAACTAGAGACTCAGTGCTTCTCAGAGGTTCCTGCCATCCTCAGAGGACAGGGCACTTGGGTCTTTGGGGGGAAAACAACAAGCTCACACAATCTTAAACTTGGCTGCTTTGTTTTAAAATTCATGGGTACTCTTTGTTCTATACTATAGTATGTCTGTACTTGTTTTGATTTTAAAATAATGTGTTATTTTTTTCCCCTCCCAAAGCTTTGAGTCAAATTTATGCTTCAGGAAAATGTGCTACATTTATCCTGTGGCTTCGCCCTCAGGGGTACATGTACCCCAGTCTGAGAAGCACGGAACTTGCCTGCAATAAAACCTCATGCGGCTGTTATAAATGACTCTCTAGATGAATATTTAATAACATGGAAAGAAATTCCGATGCTATGGAGTGAGAAAGGCAAGGTTACAAAACAGTATGATGTCCTTGGCCTTAAAATTTAAGAAAGCATAAACGTGCATATAAGAAGGTGCAGAATACCTGATGTTAAGAGAAGAGGTTAACATGGGATTGAGCTTGGAGGGCAGGCCGCACACACAGTGAGGGCTCCATAAATGTCGTTCACCATAAGTGGGAAGAGGAGAAGCCAGGCATTAACAACAGTTGTTTGCAGGAGGGTGAGATTAGAGGTGACTTTTTTCTCATTGTTTATGTATTCTAGATTTCCTCAAATACATACACACATACATATAAATATATATGAATATACATATACACATACATTTATTTGTAGAGAGAAAAAAACATTTTTAAAAAGAGATTACCATTCCAAGTTTAGATGCCACGTGATCTCTCAGGCATCTCAGGTTCCAGGGGCCCTGACTCCCACCTGTCACACCTAAATGCACAGAGTGGGACATAAGAGATTGAGAGAGCGTGCACGGTGATACCCACCCTGTCACAGCACAGCCACTCAGAAGATAGGCCCCTGAGGATGAAGCATCATCACTTTTGCATATGAAAGGTAGCAGGTTAACTAACTTGCAAGAAAGAAAAACTGCAGGCTGGTGGAGCCCTGTGTGCACATCTCAGAGACAAAGGTGGAGGCTGCTTTCTTTCTGTTTTGTTTTGTTTTAAATCCACAGGGTACCTGGCAGCGGGGCCAGATAAATCCAACTGTGGGGTATATCACTAAGCGTTTGGTAGATGCCCACCTTTCAGAGCAGGGTTTACTTAAAAGCTTTTCTGGGCAGAAATCTAACATTTCTTTACTCAGGATGATATATTTTCAAACACACACTGCATCCTGTGTACAATTTTGGAGGGTTTCTTGGTTAAGAACCCCTGATCTTGGCAGTAGTGAACAGAAGTCTATGATAGAAAGTGGTGAAAGTGGGGAAGGTGGAGAACTGGGTTGATTTCAGTCTCTGCTCTTTTACCTACATGCATGAGTTCAGCACACATGTATTGAGCACCAGTTATATACTTTGCCAAGCACTGGGCCAGGCTCAAAACAGTCTCTGCCTGTATGGACCACTGTGGTCCTGGGCCCACTTGTCCTGTTGGCCTCTGGTCCTACTCCTAGAGATGATGTCAACTCTTGTCCTTGCCCCTGCCCACCCTACCATTCACTATCTTGTTTTGGGAATGACAAGGCCACCTTGCCGGGCAGGCTCTGTGCAGTTCCCAAAGCGCTTCTGCACACGCAGTTGCATTTGCTTCTCTCGGCAGCCCTGTGAGGTAGATATTATCATCATCAGCCCCGTTTTGTCGGTGAGAGGCGGCTGCTTGTGTCAAGGGCTGGCTTTTCAATAGTTCACAGCGAGGTAGCTGCTTTGCCACGCATGAAACCCTGACTCAGAGGCAGCTTGCTGACAGTGATTTAACATCTCACCAGCTCCTCATGCGCTTGCCTCTTGCGCAGGGTGAAGGGGATTTTCCAGACAAGGAAATCAAGGCTTAGAGGTTAAGTGGCTTGCCAGAGTTAAGTGCAGACCTGACATTCGAATCCAGAGCTTCTTGACTCCAAGCGATCTTTCCATTTTGCCATACTGCTTTTCAAGAAAGGGTCACTGCAGCAAAGGCAGGGAGATGGTGAGAGCCCTTGAGGGAGGGAGGGAGGGAGGGAGGAAAGGAGGGGGGAGGGGAGGAGGGAGAGAGGAAGGAAGGGAGGGAAGGAAGAGGTCCTGGAAGGCAGGAGCTCAGTATCCCAGGCCAAAGCTCTGGGGACCTGGGTAGGGCCTGCAGGCAAATGGCTTTCAGGTTCACCTGGGGCATGTAGAAACACTATGATCCTTCTCCTGTCACACAGCGCCCAAATCCCACCATTAAACTCTGCAGCTACTGTGTGCCCTGGGGCTCCTGAGCTGGAGAACCCGTGGCTGCTCCCTTCAGTGACTCATCCTTGGAGCTCCCAGCTGCTAGCTCACCGGAACTGGAGCAGAAGGCTGGCTCAGCCTGTTCCTGTTTACATGAGGAGGGAGGTTGGTTCTGTCCTATTCAGTCT